CAAAATTGTTCTTTTGCCTCCTCCTTCCCCAAAAGACCTCTGAGTAATTCAACCCTCCTTACCCATTAAGAAGCCTACACATTGCCCCCCCCCAGAGTGCAAGTTCCCATCATGCTTAACCACCCCAATGGCCCCCAAATATCCAGCCCTAATCGTTAACAGCCCCCCCAAAATACACAAAGAGTAGGGGTCTGAGCAGTCACTAACTCCTGTCCCCATGAAGCATGGCGGCAGGACTCTCGCTCCCAGATAAAAAGTTTGTGGCCAAAATCGCTTTTGGGACAGTGCATGAAACCAGCAGCAGATGAAAATCCCACTGTCTGTTCATACAATCCAGTGAAGTTGTTTCTCCCAGCTCCAGCCCAAGTCTCCCTACAGGGGACTGAAGATATCCCACAAATTCCTAACTGGTGCCCTGAAAGACCCACTTAAAATTAAATTCAAGATAAGCATTTAAGAAAGCCTTTAAGACCATGAGGTGACTCTTTTCTTCCCAGAAATCAAAGAGGACAGGAGGGGAGGGGAGCCCAGCCCATCTTCTCAAGCAGTGAATGGTTTTGCAAAAGGGTTTCAGTGGTTTCAGTCCCAAACCAGCAGCAGCCAGAGGGTAGCACATGTCTCCTCTCCCTGGAAGCCTTAGATAGACCTGCCTCTGGGGAGGGAAGAGGATGCAAAAATCTTAGAGGCAGCACGTGTGTTAACACCAAAGTTCAAAGAAGGAGCAGCTGAACCACCTAACACCTCCCAGGACAGAGAAGGCCAGCTAAGGCCCTCTGGAAAGGTGCACATCCAAACCCCTACGCATTAATCCTCATGTTGACAGACTGCTGTGGTGACCCTGGTGGACAGGGAGAAGGACTCGCCCAAAAGGCAGAAGAAGCCCTGGCATTTTGCTAAGGGGCCCCGTCTGGGGTTAAGGCTAACAAAAGTCTTCCTCTGAAATGGAGCCAAATTTGCCAGCTCGAAAACGTTCTACGTCTCCCCATTTTCATTTGTGCCCTTATTTTTGCGAAAGCAAGAAACTCTACGAATGAAGGGTGAAAGAATGGCAGAAACACCAAAGAAAACAAAATCACCTTTCAATGCTAGAAAGAAGCCCGGGCACCTTCTTTGGGCAAAGAACTCTCTAGAAACACACCTGTCACTGCCAAGCCACTGCCTTGTCCTCCTCTCTCCTGTCTCCTGACCCAAAGAATGAAAACCAGAAAAAACATTCCAGTTGTTTCCCTGCGTCTGAAGCTTTAGCACAATGCTGCCGTCAATCGGCGCTAAGCCCTGCTTTGCCCCCTTCCCCAGTGTCTGTCCGTGTAGGAGCCATTTACCATATTAGCCCCCCCAAAAAAGCCTTCTAACATCTGATTGTCACTTCACACATGTTCAAAGAGATCAATCTGGCAGCCAACTTGAAATCATACAGAACAGAAATCTGACAGTTGTTGATTTTGTAGTTTCTCCTCCTTAATCTGCATTTTGAAAGTGGCTTGCCCAAGAGCCAAGATTTCTGCCTGGGTCTCTCCCTCGGGGCAGTTTGACGCAACCTCAGCTTCTGTGCGTTTTTTTCTCAATTTGAGTGGCCTAAGGACAGAGGACACTGTGCTTCGGACAGAACAGGCACCCTTTAAGACTTAACAGAGACTAGCTCCCACAAAGGAATTCCCTTGCCTGGATTCTATTAAAACTGGGTTCCCATTTCCCCGACCGCAGTTTTTAGCTCAGGCAGAGGATGGTGATTCTGAGCTGTGCTGTGATTTCTAATAATAACCATTACAACCAAATTCTCATACCAAAGCACTTGGATACCCCTATGAAGTTCACTGTAATGGAATCTGCCTTCCTGTTGTGTTTTTACAGTAACGCCCCCATCCTGGTTAATTACACCAGCCTTGGGAACCAGAATAGGCCAACAGGCCCAAACACTGCAGAAAGAGGCCAGGCTAAGAGCAAGCAACCATCTTAATAACAAATGAGAGTATAAACCACAGCACATACTGTACTTCTTGAGGTTACTAATGTTACTAATGTTCATGGTCAGGTGCATTATCCCTGTAGCCCTGGCAAGTGTGAGGCCAAGCTTGCACAAGTTTCTTCAGGCCGGAATCATGGTTGCCTCCCCACTAGTTAAGGCTAAATCCTTTTCAGTTAAGAAGCAAGCTAGTTACTCTTAAACAGTGGGTTTCAGAAAGATACCTTGCTTTCTTTCCCTTCAAGTCATAGGAGCAACTCTCTATACTTTTATAAAATGTTGCTTAGTCACTTAAATATTTACTTTTTAAGATGAAACTGCTGCAACTCTGCAATAAAAATAATTTCCTAGGTATGGGTCTGCTTTGGGCCCTCAAGCCTTTCCAGGTTCTCACATTGATACTTTGGAAGCCAAAAGGCCCCAACCTCTAAAATATATACTAAAAAGGAACAGCAGCATACAGTGACAATAAGGACATGTTCCCTGTGACCAGAACTAAAGGAATGAAGCCAAATCACCAAGAGCCACAGATAATATTTTCCTAGCAGTCTGTGATCACAAATGTATTCTAATGAACTAACCGCCTTTGGGTCACCCAAGGTGAGCCAGGCCAGTCCTGGGAGTGTCTAGTAGTCATCATTTAAAGTCATAATGATGAAAACTGAAATCGTGCTTACTTTAGCTCCTTGCCACTGGGCAGTCCAATTGGCACTGAGTTTACACAGCAGTTAGAGCCAACCCCATAGCAGCAAGAAGGCAGGCCCTTCACTGTCCTGTTGGGAGAGCCAAATAGAGACCTGTGGAGAGCACCGTTTTGTTTGGGCCCTTTCCACCCTTAGCATTCATTTGCGCAAATAAAGGACGGAAGGAAACCAAAATTAAAATTTCAGGTGGTTGGGGAAGCAGCATGGATTTTTTTATTCTGAAACAGTTTGCAAGTGTTTCTCAATAGCTCCCTGTCAATCAAAATTGTTTTCAGGAGAAATGGAAAATAGTAGCTTCCAGCCCATAGAAAGTGCACCCATTTCAAAAAAAAAAAAAAAAAAAAGAGTTGGGAAAGGGAAGTGACCCATGTCATAAAGACAGAAGGTCTCCAAGTCACTTAATTCCTTGTGATTCCAAAAGGACTGTTTTTAAAGTGTAAAAGTGCTTGCTTCTGCATCTGCCCCATGATGTTAAATAACACTTTGTGTAATTAAATAAAAGAGCCAAGCGTGACCCCGGGCCCATTCTGCGAGGCACTCTACATGCTTTCTAAAAACTACGCTGGAAACTCAATGCAGACAATCTCCTTAGTCCTGTAATTTAGGAAGGGGAGAGAGGAAAAGTTTCTCTTGGCCTTCATAGCTACACACCCTCTGAAAGGGTGCCTTCAGGGTCTCTGTGAAATAAATGAACACAAATACAGGTGTGCAAACATCCAGGCAGGTACCTCTCTCCAAAGATCCCATTCTTGAAACCTTTAAATGATTAAGAACGGAGGTCTCCTGACTTCCCTCACACCTCACTGTTCCCTAATTGTTTTTCATGTTTGGGTAACAGGATAGATTCAGAATTTCAGGCCGCCGCCAGTGGCCGTTCTGATAACGAGGAACAGACCCATGTCCCTTGCCACAGCCTTTCTCGGTCAAGTTACCTTGGAAGGTGTATGTTTTCCTACCCAACGCAGTCCCCGCCACAGCACTCGGGCGTCCCTCTGCAGCCCAGCCTCCCGGAACTCGTGATTTTTAGGGTTTCCCTTGAAACCTCTCCAGAAACCACAGCCATTAAAAGAACATGAAGGTTTGACACCTCCTGAATTTAGGAATGAGGGGACTCAAGGGGCCAACTCCACAAACTCGCACCTGGGGCTTGATGGCGAAGAAATAACAAGTTTCCATGGCTAGGGTGAGCTTTAAATTATACTCTATTTATTTAGTGACTTGTCTTCAAGAATCTCAAAGCATGGAATGAAATAAGATGACGTGTAACTTTCTCACTATCTACCTTCAAGGTTTAAGTTTGTTTTCCTTGTCGAGCTCTGATGCGTTCCTCCAAGAAGGCCCCAGCCTGAAGGAGAGACCTTCCCTGTGTGCCCAGGTGGGGCCATTTCTCCTCTCTGGTGTTATCTGTCAGTGGCCTTTACTGAGTCTTCCAGGCCTATTAAATGACACAAACAGAGGGTGGGGGTGGGGATGACCCTCCCGGATTTACCTGCTCACCCGGATCCATTTAAACCACTTTAACGCGCTGTGCACCACTGTGCCAGGCGATTCCTTCTTAGAATACACCACGCACGGGCTGTGGTCTCTGCCCTGGAGGCATTTTCCTATCATAGGACAGATTATATGTCCAAAGCAGTAAGGACCATTTTCCAGAAAGTTCGTTTCCCTCCAAGCCCTACAATGATTACTTTTGGGTTTTTTTTTTTTTTTATTTTCTCTGCTACTGACCTAACTTGGGGATTCCTCCTCCTTTAACAGGATAAAAATCTTAGCTCTCCGCTTCACAACCCCCCCCCCCAAATGAACGAATGCAGTGCTGGGTTTTTTTCAGAGTGCGAACAAACTACAATTAGAGGGTGGACAAGATGCTCTCCAAAGGTGCCCTCCAGCTGAAAAACTCTGATTCTCCCTTTAATTACTCCACCATAAGAGCATTCTTCGCATTGTTTCCAACTGACCAGCAACTTCTCTGGGGCTGAAAAGGGTGCACTTTCAGGCGGAGGAACCCAAACTTCTAAATGACACCAGTACCACAAGTATTCAGCAGGCAGGAACTGATCCAAACGCAGACTACGGAGAGGAGCGAGGGAGGGGATGAAAGAGGGAAGGGAAGGAAAAGGAGGAAGGACTTCACTGTGTGCCCAGCAGAATTTAGGCGCTCTCACCCCAGGCAGGTTCCAACTGGAATCTAGTAGTTCAAGTGCATCCAGCCTGCCCTTCCCCCACATGCCCCAGGAGAATGGGAAGTTCAGCCAGGACTGGCAGCACCTGCCTGCAGCTCCAGGCCGGCTGCGCAGGCCGGCGGGCCCGGCGGGGAGGGAGGCTGCACTCACCTGGCACACAAAGCCGCCGCGCACCTCCGGAGGGAGGCGGCACTCGCAGGTCCGGGGGCCGCGCCGCTGCCGAGCGCCACAATGGGAAATTCCAGCGGCACCAGAGCCCCGAACTTACCCACCCCGGGCGGCATTCTCCCCACCTCCCGCTGCCCCTGGGACTCCGGGGTGGCTGTGGGTAGGAGCAGGGGGGCCGGAGGCAGGGGAGGGGGGCTCATGCTGGCGGCGCGGCTGGCGGCTGGCCCGTCCCCGGGAGGGAGGTCCCCGGGGCGCGGCGGGGATTCACCCACGGGGCGCGGCGCTCGCGTCCCCAGCCGGCCTGCCCGCCGCCGCCGCCGCCTCCTCCTCCTTCTCCTCCTCCTCCTCGCCGCCGCCCGCCCGAATCGCTTTATGTAAATGAAGCTCAACTCGCAGTTTGCAGCGTGCACCGCCCGGGAAGGGGGGCGGGCGGGGCGGGGGGCCTTCGGGGATCCACATTACACAGCAACAAAGCGGAAGGTTAATTTGAAACTCACAGCCCTGCCGCTCGGCTCCCCGGGCAAAGCCTGACATCTACAGTCGTGCCGGGCGCAGGCCGGGCTGCTCGGCGGCGCATCGCCCGCCCGCGGGGACGGGGGACACCCAGGGACACCGGGGGCGCGAGGCCCAGTGCGAGGCCGCGCTTGCTCCGGGCACGGGCCTGGGCCAGGCCGGGCCGCCATGGGACAGGAGCCCTGGCCGCTGGGCCTGCGCCGCCCGGGAACCGGCCCGCGGGAACAAAGCCCCGTCCCTCCCAGAGGCACTGACCCCTCGCTCATCAAAGGTCAGGGGCCGGCCTAGAAGCGGGCGAGAAGAAAGGGACGCGCCCTCAAGCCACAAAAAGGAGCCTGGGGCCTCCGAACCAGAGACATCGCTCTCTGGGCCCCGTCCACGTCACAGCCAGGCCACTCCAGCATGGGGACATGAGCCAATGTGGACAGGAATTTATGTGAAACACACACACCCATCCTATTAACTGCTTTACAGAGCACTTCTGTTTTTCAGTTGCAGAAACTTATGAAAACATTCCCTGCTCTCCACTGAGACTTTAAGGACAGTTTCTGAGACAAGAGAAAAGAGAGATCACTAGAAAGAGAGGAAGAAAAGAAGTGAGAAGAAAAGGAGCCGCAGTTTGGGATTAAACCTGCAATCTCTCCAACTAAAGACTGCCTTATAAAGCCACATCGTTTCAGAGATCATGCCCTTCACAGGGAGATCCTGCCGCCAGGGTCAGACTTAATGCGGCCACCCCAGTTGGTCAAAGCAATTGCTGGGCACTTTTATATCTCCCCGAGTTCACCTTTTCCATTCTGCTATGCAAAGGCAGCGGCCACAGAAATCTCACCGGAAGTCCTCTGTCCTCCCTTGTCAGAATCCCACCCTCGGTCTGCATTTACTCTGCTTCCCTCAGCACAGAAAGGCACCTGCTTTTAGCCTTGCTGAAAACCACCCACCCAGGCTGGCCTTACAGCCTGGAGAGTCTTTTCCGACTGCACAATAATGAACCATGCAAGTGTTAGAAATATAATAAGCTCACGAGGCGAGGAGCAGTATGTATGGAATTGTATTAGCATTAAGCACACACTAACCCGGGAGAAAGAGGGATGCTTAGCTGCTGAAATCCATTCATGTCCTCATGCAGAAGGCATTTCTGCACAATATAATTTGGGTTCAAATTAATGTAAATATCTAACTGGTGGGTACAGACAAGCCTTCTCTGCACTTTAGTCCAGAAAAGAGACTCCAGGAGGGGAAAAAAAAAAATTCTGCTAGGGCTCTGGGAGAAAAGACTGCCTCTAGGGAATCATGTCCGATTAGGGACAAAGGAGGGCACAAGCCAAATTCAGTCACACGTGAGAGCGTGGGAGGCGGGGTGGGGGGAGCCGGAAAGCCAACAAGGAAAGCAGAGGATGATTCTGTAAACCAGGGTATGGTCATTGCAGAACTGTTCCCAGCCCGCCTGACTGCAGGCCCAAGAACAGGTGGTGTTTTCAAAACACACTGTTATTTATGTTAGTCACAGAAGTGGAGAACACCTTAAAGAAAAGCAATTAATAATTTAATTGAAAAAGTGACCATGAATAATACACGACGATGACGATGTTAGCAATAACAAGCAACGTGGCCCCACGAGGCAGAGATGCCCCTGGAAATCCCTTCAAGGAAATGAAGATTCCTTACCTGGAAGCAACCCCACAGCCTGTTGCTGGATGAATGAACGCCAGTAAGAAAATGTGTATACTTTTCAGAAAATCTAATTTTGCTGTTTGGTCTTAACTTTCATTAACAGGGGACAACCTTGTCATCTGGTGACATCATGAACCTGCTGCTGGGGCCACAAACACCTTCAATAAAATAAAATCTACAAAACCCAAAAAACGAGCTATAAAGTAATCTGGGAGGATGCAGAGGGGCTGAGCAGAAGGCCCTGAGGGGGTCAGCCCTTCCCAAACAGTAGACACTGCCACCCGCCTCCTGCACCTCAGAGGCCTGACAAGCAGAACTGAGAGTGACCCTGGGTCCCTTTTCTTTATCTTAATCCAGCACCAGCTCCACACATAGTGAGGCCTAGTCAAACGTGCCTTTGTTCCAGGCAAAAATGTAACAGGTAACCCACAGGCAGGTAGGTAATCCACAGCCTCTGCACATTATGAATATAAAGGACTGCACAAAACTTGGGGCGTTACCTCAACTAAAACTTATTTTCATCATTAACAAAAACAATACCTCTTCAGAGGGAACGTGCAACTTCTGCACTTACATATGGAATCAAGAGTTCCTTTGAAATACACGTCGCAAATTCCAGCCTCCAGCTCTGCAAGGCCCGGCTCTTCGGAGAGCAGCTGCCTGATGTTAAACCCACGGCCTACCCAACAGTGACAGCCTGACATTCTCATTGCTCCATCCTGAACACTGTTGACAAATAAACCCTCTCTCAGAAAAGGCAATTCTTCCCTTGCAGTGCTCCATACCCAGTCTCGTCTCATCTGGAAAGCGTAATTGGCAACAGCCAAAAGGATAAATATTTAAAAATAAATCAGGGAATGCTAACCCCTTCCCTACTCCTCCCCTTACCCACTCTCCAAGCCAGAGGCCTGCCCCCTAACGCTTAGCTGGCTGGTAAATTACAACAATCCCACCCAGCCACGCTTGTTTGTCTCTCTCCACACACATACACACACACACACTCTCTCTCTAATGCTGTATCCTTTCACTTTGGCAAAGGTAAATATGATCTCTGAGCTGAGATACACTGGATGTCAGCATTCTGACTTCTAGCGAAACCTGGACTCTCTTTTCACAGCACGACTTGGTTTAGGGGATTTGCGTCCTCTTCCAGATTCTTCCATTTTTATTAAATTATACATATACATTGATTTTAAAACTAGTGCTTAAATAACCTGGAGGCTTTTGCAAAGAAAAATCCAGAAGAGGACCAAAAAAAAAAAAAAAAAGGTCCTGAAATAAACAAAGAAACATTTGGAGCTGGCTTTATCCCATGGCCTGAGTTCACCCCATCATTTTAAGGCAGTTATATTTAGGGGCCTGGTACCCGCTGGGTGGCCAGGCCCTCCTGGGTATGGGACAGAACACAGGCTTTCCTCAAAACAGTGCACACTCACCTTCATAACCACCGGAGGCTGGTCTGCCAAGGCCTACACATAGATGTTTTCATTCACATTTCTCTGCCGAAACCTCTATCACTACAGTGCTAATTCCATAGATTAATTTTTACCCCCAAATCATAAGGGAACATTATCTAGTTTACTGAGCCACCCTCCCCAGCTCAGAAGCTAAATCTGTCGATGACATACACAAGAAAGACACAAATGAGTAACCATTTCTTTGAAGCTGTGATTCCAAGGAGTTTTCCCAAATTCATTTTAAGTGACCAAGCCCAAGTTTTAAGAAAGCAAAAATAAAGATATTGCCTTAAAACAGCTTTACATGTTAGGTACAGGGCTCATTTCTCTCTCCTCTTTCTCTCTTTTTTTAAACAAAAATATTATTTCTGAAAGGGCAAAGAGAATTTGCCATGCAAGACTTTTATACCCAGGGGGATTCTTACATTTGTGTTTCTAAACCTTGAAATTGAGAATTTTAATGAAAAGGCAGACAGATGCTTAAGGACAGCATCGCAATCTGGGTCCATACATTGCAGGAGAGAGAGGCGCTTTGTTTAGGGCCAAGAAAAAAAAGAGGTGGACTTCTATTTTGTTCATGGGCCATCCCCACCGACTGACACATCCCTTTACACTCCATCTGATGCTAACCACTGAATTCTTGGAGGGGAAGCAGGTTGGAGGGAGAAGAAAGGAAAAAGGAAACAGGAAAGAAAAAGCAAAGGGAGATGGGATACTGCCTGTTTACATAAATCATAGTTTTTTAAAAAAAAATTCTCAGTGCAGTATCAACTCCATAATATGTACCAAAAGCTCTTTCACACGTGAGTTAAATCAATTAAATGCTGTATCAGAAGCACAACAACCTGGATCGAATTTTTTTTTTTCAAATGAACAATTTCATTTAGTTTGCAATTCTCCCCTATCAAGCGACCACTTCTAAGCATGGGACACACATCACGAGAAGACAGACAAAAGATGACCCCTTTCACGCTTTCTGCAAAAATAATTCTAGAAGCCTGTTTTCTTTTCATTTTAGTGAATTTTTGTTAAAAAAAAAAAAAAAAAAAAATCTGTGCTAATCTGACTTCAGAGCCCCGAGCTGAAATTTCACATATCCTCCAAGTGAGCCAGTGTTTTAGAATTTGGATTTCTATTGAGGCTGTTCCAATCGCCAGTGAGGCCTACGGTAAAATGTGCTTCATGCTGTTCCGTTTGTCTCTCTGCAGACAAATAGAAACTGTGAAATTTAAAGAATGGATGAAAAAAAAAATCTAAAACAAAGAGGTTAAAAAAATAGGACAAATGTTTTTGCTTTTGTGTCTCCCTGGAGCAATTGTTTGGGGGAGTCTGCATTGACAATAACCATGAGAAG